CGATTCAATGGCAGTGAGTTTGCCTTTTGTTAATACACTGTGATTAGCACATGTTAAGTATTTGATATTGTTATTAATTGCCATTGAATCAATCTGACTCACGGCTACTCCATGTGTGTGGAAAAGTGCTCTAAGGGGTTTCCCAGGCTGTGACTCTACAAAACCAGACAACTAGGCCTATCTTCCGAAGTACATTAACCTTTTAATTAGCTGGTGGCACTTAGCTGTTTGCACCTCCTAGGGACTCCAAATATTTGATAGTTACTAGTTATTACTATTGTTGATGTAATCATTACCACAGCAAAGTCCTAAGTTGTTGGTGCCTCAAATAGTATTACAGGACTACACAGATTTATACTCTTGGTCTTGCAAATAACTAAAAGTTCTAGATCAAGTACCAAAATTTAATGTCAGAGTAGTGTTTCCAATAAAGTGTTTCTAGAAAAAAGGGTTTCATGATTGAACAAAGTCAGAACAAAGGCCAGAGTACATGCCAACCTGAGATTCAGAGTGTGTCTGGACACGTTAAAGTCCAGAGTAATCCTGTGAGAAAGAAATCAGTTTCACTCTGTTTAACTGGTACTACCCAAACTTAATTAATCACAGAGCACTTTGTTCACCTAAAATAGTTTCCCACCCCACTTAATTAGAATTCTGTAGAATATATGCTCAGTAATAATTTTAGCAATTATTTTCAGAAACCCAACAGTGAGTAGAGAAGTCCTAGAATGGTGCTGAGGATGAGCACTGGACTGCTAATCTTAAATTTGGAAGTTCAAACCCACCAGCTGCTCCTCAGAAACCCTATACAGGGTCACTGAATCAGAACTGACTAGATGGCACTTAACAACAACGAGAAGAGTGATGCTGGCAGCTACAATCTACGCTTTGTGAAAAACCTGAGAGAACATGTCCAGGAGCAAGGCATGCCGAGAAGTAGGCAGGGAGTACTCGAGGTGGAACACAGACGTGCAAATGTAGGTGTTCCCTGTGCTTCACACTCAGGGAATCAGAGCCATAGACCTGAACCACTCACACTATGGTCCCAAGTCTCTCCACTTACTCACCTGAAGGGCTGCTTTTCAACAAAATAAGTCACCGAAAATCTGCCCTCAATCCCTGCTCAATGAAAGAATAAGTGGAAAAGAAAAACACAACCATGGGAAAAATACTCTCAAAACTATGAAGGAAATACACTAGAACTTTAATAGAGTTTGGTCAGTGATCAGCGTATGGCTGATTCTTCTTCTTTGTATGCCTTTGTATTTTCCACATTTTATATAATTAGTGTATTATGTTTTACAATTGCAAAGGAAAAAAACGTTATTTTCCAAAAAGAATATTATTTAAAAAAATAAAAGACACAAAAGGACAAATTTGTAGTGCTTTGACCTCAGTGCCTATTTAAAGAGGCAGCTGAAGTGCATGAAACAGCCCAGTTTCAATACTTGGGTAAGGCCAAGCGGGGGCAGGGCCACCATGCCAGGAAGGAGGCATCCCCTCTGGAACCTGAGTTCCCTCCCCTCCGGAGGTGCTAGGTGTGCACGCATGTTCTCAGTTGAACACAAAAAGAAAAGCAGAATACTGACCTCTGGGAGACTGTAGGTTTTCTGGAACTGGGATATGGAGTAAGAGCGGATATAGTCACCCATCTCTTCTTTTGTTTCTATGGCTCGCTTCACCAGCCACTGGGGAGGAAAGTTGCAAAACATGAGCTGATTGTGATGAAATCCCACTGCAATGAAGGCCAACTCAGTGATGGTACAACTCATGAACCCAAATCACTGTGCTCGACTGACCAGGTGACAAGAAATTACCAACAGTCTGTCTTATGGGCAAAGCACCCAGGTATCAAAGGTGTAGCGGTGCAAAGGTCCAGCAGACTCTGACACTGAGTAGTTCCGCAGGAACTTCACAGCCTTGGGCCTCAGTTCCCCTCTCGGGAAAGTGGAGGTAAGAATATCAATTCTACCCTCTTCACAGAGCTACTGTAGAGACAACTGAAATCACAAGTACTAGAGTGCCTTGTGGACTCCTGGTGTGGCACTGTGGGCTAATGCGCTGGACTGCAAAGTCAGTTTGAACCACAAGCTCACCACCTGTCCTAAAAACCCTCTAAGGGTCTCGCTATGGATTGGAACCAACTCGATGGCACTTACCAACAAAAGAATGCTTTGCAAACAACTGAAGCACAACACAAACATAGCTATTCCTTACCACCACTAGAAGCAGCGGCCCATCTGAATGCACATCTTTTTCCTGCACTGTTTGCAAAGACCAGAGAAAGGAAAGACAGCTAGTATAACATTGTATTTGATAGATGAAAAAGAAAAAAGCCCCAAAGTATCTAGGTTTGAGAACAGTCTGTACTGACTCCATAGCTCTAGTTATTAGATTACCATTTTTAAGTGCCGTTGAGTCGATTCTGACTCATAGCTACCCTGTATGGGGTTTCCGCAGAGCAGCTGGAGAGTTCGAACCGTTGACCTTGTGGTTCAAACCAACCTTGCAGTTGAGTGCTTATCCTACAATGCCACACCAGGACTCCCTGAAGTCTTGCAACATCATACCTCTGGCCATGTTTTACAGAACCAGAAGTGCAGAGAGATTTGTAATTTGTTCATTTTATATACAGCTAGCAAGCCCCAGGACTGGTAGTTACAACTTTGAGGATCTTCCACATCACCAGACAAACATTAAGTATTAAGTATTTCTTGGTTCTACTGGGATAATACACAGAGCTGCTTCTCATGTGTCCCTATGTAAATCTAAACTGAAAGCAATTTGTGAGAGTTAAGGTTTTATGTCAACTTCGCAGGACCAGTATTCTCAGTGGACTGGCAGTTAGGATGTAGTTACCACCTCCATGTGATCTGATGTGATCAGCTCTGATATGATGTAAATTGTCACGTCTACGATGTTAATGACATCTGATGCAATGTACAAGATGAGGCTGTATTTGAGTCAATCTCTTTTGTGATATAAACAGAGAAAGAAATGAACACAGAGAAGAGGAACCTACTACAACCAAGACAGAGGAAGAGCTGGGAGTGCAGTGTGTCCTTCAGACCCGGGGTTCCTGCACTGTGAAGCTCCTAGACCCAGGGGAAGACAGATGCCAACATGTATGAGATCTCCAAGGAATGCTGAGCCTACACATGCTGAAAGGAGAGAAGGACTTTTCCCAGAGGTGAGAGACAAGGCCTTCTCCACTTTGAAGCTGGACTTCCAGCCTCCTAAACTGTGAGGATGAATTTCTGATTTGTTAAAGCCATCTAACTGTGGTTATTTCTGTTATTGCAGTACTACATAACTCACAGTTCATTAACTGTGTGCATACACACTCATACCCACACATCATCACCTGCAGAAGACCTATCGTGATCCTGTAGAGGGCTTCCAAGGCTGTAAATCTTTATGAGAGCAGCAAACCTCTTTTGTCTCCTGCAGAGCTGCTGATGTACCCACACTGGTGACCTTAAGGTTTGCAATCCAACACTCAACCTACAGAACCACCATATTCCCAAAATGATTGGGTAAGACTCTGTAAATACCCCTATCACAGTGGACTGGACAGTGTGCTAGTACAAGGTGTTTGGAAGCATAACCAGGGGATTTTTGCCATTCCTGATATGGCACTGTAGGATACGGTTCAAACCACCAGCCACTCCGTGGAAACCCTACACAAGACTGCTATGAGTTGGCACATCACAACAATAATTAGGTGTAAATGAGCTGATCCTAGAGATTGGCAGGGTAAGACTGTGTGTCAAATTGGCTGGTCCATGATCTCAGTGGTGTGGCATCCCCTAAGATGAGATGTCATGAGCAGTTCATCAACTGAAAAGCGTTTTCTTCAGAGGTGTGGCCTGCTTCCAGTATATGTGGACACGCTAGCAGAATGCTCTCACTTATTGCTTGTTTCTGCATCCTGCATCTGGCTTGTCACCTGACCTCTGGATCTTTGGACTTGAGCTAGTAGCCTGCCAACCCTGGGAGCTGTTAGGCTGTGAGTCAGCAACCTGCCATCTTACCTGCTGACCTTGTATTCATTCACCTCTGCAATCAGTCCGCTCATTTTGGGTTTGTCCGCCCTTGCAGCTACCTGACCCAGTAGAAGCCTCCAGCCTGACATCTGACCCGTGGATTTGGGACTTGCCAGTCTCTACAACTCTGTGAGTCATTTTCTTGAGATAAATCAGCATAGTCAGAAGATTGCTGCAAAACTGCATAGTAGGCTTGCTAGCCCATGAAAAGAGCTGAGTTTTTGGGCTGAGGCTTACTGGCAGTATGGAGTGCCTCAAGACACTTACCAATACAGCTAAAGAGTTTTGTAACTCCTTAGCAATGCAGAGTCAAGTTCAAGAGGAGTCTTTCCTGAGAGGGCAAAACAGAGGTAGCAACCCTAGATCAGTCACACTCTAGCTGCTTTAAATTTTATAGGTCTGTGAAATTTAGAAAGCTGGTACCCATTAGTCTAGGCCACATATAACTTTACACAGAAACCCTTCTAGTATTCTACTCACAATGTAGAACATTCATAGGCACTCAAAATGTCCAAAGTGACTAAAGATCACTCTTCCCATGCATCCTCTTCTCAAGCCTAAAGTTTCTGACCCCCAAAATTCTTTAGGGCTAAGGAAGCCACACTCCATAGAAATCCAGGATTTAGGGAGAAGGGTAACAATTTTACTGCATGATAGTGTTGGAAATTTTAGTAATTATCAACACAGGACCTCTACTCATTTTCACACACATGCATACACAAAAATCAGGTACAATGACCTGAATCAGAAAGAAAGTTTAACAAACACACAAACCAAAATCTAAACTTAAGTCTTAGCCTCAAATTTATAAATTTCATGACACTCAAGTAAGGTTCCTACAATCAATCTGATGGTTTAGGTTTAGAGACTCTGAAAACAAACACTTAACACTTAAAAAACACTTACTAAAATGCACAGCCTTAAGCCCTATACTATAGAAATCTTAACATACAGTCCGACCACTTTTCCAACAAGAATTGCTCATCCCTCTGCTGGTGGCTGCACAGATAGAAGATGGGAAAGCCTAAGGTCTGAAGATTGGGAGTTTAGACTGGCATCTCAGCTCCTTCACTCACTAAATCTCCGCCCTTAAGCAAATGACTGATAGTTTCTCTAGGTCTCACTTTTTGGAATTCCATGCTTCAAAGAACCCTTTTAGGATGAGATAAGTAGTCGATATTAAGTATCCTTCACACAGCAGCCAACAAAGGTGAGTTGCTTTGTTCCTCATCTCAAAGTGCCTAGAGGGGAAGCTGACACACAAAAAGAACTACACCGAGTACAGAGGGCTGCAGAGCACAAGTCTCTGAATTACAGAACATAACCTTTCAAGGATGCATCAGGAAAAATCCTCATGATCTGCCGCCACCAAACGCCACCATATACAGGATGCAGGGATAAGGGACTGTAGAGGAATCAGAGAGCCAGAGGACAACATACCACATAAAAGACTCACCTGAACAACAGGAAATATGTGAATAAAGTCCATGCCTTGGATCTGGTGGGGCTCCAGCTGGTGTGGACATTTCATCCTTGGCAGAACTGAGACAATTTTTTCTGAGAGAGCTCTGTTAAAAAAAAAACAGCAAGAAAGCAAAGGATGAGAAAACACTAAGTAGAAGTTAAGACAACTTTGAAGTCTGGGCAGCATCCCAGAAGAAATGGGACGTCTCAATGCCAAGCGAGCTCCAGATCATGAGTAGGTTTCTCCTAGCTAACTACAAAATGAGACAAACAAGCACAAGTTAGATGGTTATGAGTAAGGCCACACAACTAGTACATTCTTCATTCTAAAATTCTGTGGCTTTTATTTCACATTTCTAGTTTCTTTATACTAATGTTGATTTCTATTTTCTTTTGTTTTGTAGCAAGATTTTTATCTATTTATTTGAGTTCCCTTCCACCCAAGTTAGTATTTGTCTACCCTCTGTTGTTCGGTTTCATCGAGTTGGTTTCTACTAAGCGCAACCCCATGCACCACCACCACCACCACCACCACCACAACAACAACAACAAAACACTGCCCAGTCCTGCACCATCCTCACACTTGCTATGTCTGAGCCCACTGCTGCTGCCACTGTGTCAATCCATCTCGTTGGGGGCCTTCCTCTTTTTTGCTGACCAAGAATGATGTCCTTCTCCAGGGAGTGGTTCCTCCTGACAACATGCCCAATATAGGAGAGTCTATGCCCTAATTATTGATTTACCTTTGCTTTTCCTCCCACCTGCACTAAGCATCAAATAATGTTTTTTTGTTTTGTTTTGTGAACGCTATTCTTGACTTTTTATAGTAGTGGTCTCATTCACTATTTGTCCTTTTGTGATTGACTAATTTCACTCAGTATGTCCCTCCAGGTTCATCCATATTATCAAAGATTCATCGTTACGTAGTATTCCATTGTGTGTATGTACCATGGTTTGTTTAGCCACTCTTCCGTTGATGAACATTTGTTTCCTTCTTTTTGCTTTTGTGAATAGTTCTGCAATGAACATGACTGTGCATAGATCTATTCGTGCCACGGCTTTTAGTTCTCGAGAATATATATCTTGCATTAGGATTGTTAGATCATATGGTATTCTATTTCTAACTTTTTAAAGCAATGTCATACCATCTTCCACACAGGCTGTACTATTTTACAATCCCATCAGCAGTGTCTCTCCACACTAAAATTATGTTCTTCCTTTTTTATATTAAAATATTGTTTCCTTATGAAGTAATGGTGACATTAAAATAACCAACTGTCATCAACTTGATTCTGACTCCTAAGACCCTGTAGAATAGTAAAGCTGCCCTATAAGCTTTCCAAAGCTGTAATATTCATGGATGCAAACTGCTACATCTTTCTCCTGCAGAAAGGTTGGTGGATTCTAACCACCAATCTTTCAGTTAGCAGTGAGCACTTAAGCACTGCACCACCAGGGTTCATTACATTAGAGGGGCTGTTGTTGTTGAGAGCCATCAAAAGTCAGTTCTGATCATAGTGACTATGTATAGGATTTCTGAAGCTGTAAGTCTTTGGAGGAGCACAGTCTCATCTTACTCCCATGGAGTAGCTGGTGGGCTTGAACCACTGACCATGTGGTTCACAGTCCAGTGCTTAACTTTCAGAACCAGGCGCTATTTATTATTTTTTTCAACATCCCTACATGGCAAAATAATAAAAAGCCATCAGTGCCCAAATTATTTCAGTTTAATGACCTAATTTTTCTCAAAATTCTGGTAACCATTAAGTTAAACATTGAAAAAAAATCACTCTAAATATTACTCATGTAACAAATACGTGCCCAGAATATTAAGACAATTAAGTCATAGTCCATTAATTCCTGATGCTCACAAGGTAGTAGAGGAGACAGGCACAAACAACTGCAGTACATTTCTGACCACCAGAATGAGGCTCACAGAGATTGTGATGAGTACATCCTGAAAGAACATGCAACCTTCTCTGTACATTTTCTCATTTAGGTACAAATCCATTGAAAAAAAATATTTTTGTGGTTTTCCATTTTTGCTGTTTTATATGTGTTGTTTTTTGTTTTTGTTTTGGTAGTCTAAAACCAATCCTAGATTTTAGGTAACACACATACTCACTCTTATTTTCAGAGAGGAGAAAAGTTTTGCTTCTCAAGAGCCACACTCTGACTCCTCTCTAGCACTTTACCTTGGTCCTCCTGCGAAACGCTGGGTGTGGGAGGAGGAGGAGAAGCTGGGCTCCTTGAGACCCCAGAACACACTTCTAGGTCAAGTGACAGGCATCATTTTTTTCAGCTCAGCCTGGGATTAGGTGGGATAGTTTTATAGCAGGAGTGATGGAAGAACTTACATGCAAATATTTCACTGCAGACTTAAGCCTCCTCCCCATATCAGCTGATATTTGGTCTCCATCTATCTGGTTCCTGTTTTTTATATCTTAATAGGATCAGATTCAAGTGGAGAAAAGAGATGTATTATTTAATAGGTCTGCTAAACCCCAAAGCTGTGATCAGCAGACTGGGAACCTTGAGGAATCACCACAAGAAATGGACTTGAGGAGAAAAAAGAAATAAGGGCAATTTATGCTACATCCTAGTTTATAAGTACAAGACACTTTTCTAATTGGTGAATAAGGGGCCACATGGATCTTAGGAGGAAGTCATATGGGTTCTGTTGGGTGAGCAACCACAGATGACCTTGACTACCATATGCTGTACAACTGGGTAGGGTATTGCAGAAGATCATTCTCCAGTTAACTTCTATACTGAAGCTGCTGCCAAGGCTCCTAAAACCTATGCCCTAAGGGGGACCTTGTTGGAGCCATGCACAGTCTTGCCTTAACTTGTGAATATTGTCTATCATTTACCTTGTGAGGTCTCTCATAGTGAGAGAAATGAATACAGTCAAGTTTTGAATCTACCAAAACTGTTCCTTATTGAAACAAATCTGGTCCACCTCTCTTTCTGGAGTTCAGTAATCCTACTCTGGAGAAAGGAGTCCTCGGGTGGTGCAAACAAATAAGCACATAACTACCTGCCAAAAAGTCGACAGTCTGAACCCATTTACAGGTGCCTGAGAAGACAAGCCTGGCAATCTACTTCTGAAAGGTCCCAGCCTTGAAAACTCTATGGAGCAGTTTGACCTTTCACACACAGGGTGCCATGAGCAAGAAGCAACTCGAGGGTAATGAACTAACCACTACCATCAGAAAGACCAACACCACCTTTCAGACAAATGTCTAACTCAGATCTGAGTAAAAGCTATTATTGTCTCAGCTGTCTGACCCTTAGTAGGTTTCATCCTTAGGCTTCTTGTTGTTAAATGCCGTCAAGTTGGTTCCAACTCATAGTGACCCTATATAGGGTTTCTTAAGAGTAGCTAGTGAGTCTGAACTGCCGATCTTGTGGTGCAAACCAACCTTATGGTCTAGTGCTTATGCCCCTAAATAGGCTTCATCACTAGTCTTCTTGTTGTTGTTGTTGTTAAGTGCCGTGGAGTCGGTTCCGACTCATAGCGACCCTGCACAGGGTTTTCGAGGCTGTAAATCTTTACGGGAGCAGAACGCCTCATCGTTCTCCCATGGAACCGCTGGTAGTTTCCAACTGCTGACCTTGCGGTTCACAACCCGATTCGTAACCACTACGCTACCAGAGCTCCTTAGTCTTAGTAGGGGCAAAACAAAGTCTATATACCCACCCAAAAAACTGTCTCCTCTGAGCACTGGGCTTTTAACATCTGAAAAGTAACATCAAAAGACCAAGGGTAACACTGCTAAGGGAAATAGTTACACCTCATGCCTGCCGATCTTAAGATGAAACATCAAGCTGATACATTCGGAGAAAAAGACTTATAGTGCACTGCACACATTCACAGAAGTAAGGGAACATGCACTTTTAAGGAGAGAAGCTTATGAGACAACACTTTCTGCCTTTTCCTTCCCCAAGAATGGGGAGGAGAGAATCCAAGATTTAATCCAAAAAGTCCAAGAGGAAGATCCTCCTTTCTGAGCAGCCTGACTTCCAGACACAGGCATCTTCTCTGACTGGCATGGAGGCTGTCCTGCCTGGGACTGGAACAGTTTGGTAGAAAAGAATTAGCAAACCCATTTGGCAACGTTTCTCTTTGATAAGCTTTATTTCTTATTTTGACTACCATCACACTCCCATGTCTAGTCCCTTAACATCAATGACTTGTGAGGGGAAGACAGGCATGTGTTGGCCCTCTTCCGCAATTTGATGGTATTCCACTGCTATTCATAAACATTCAGAAATGTTGTATATTAAAACGTTATAAATAGCACCAGGAAAGATGTGTGTCAGAGTTGCATTTTTTCACCATATTTACTCAACCTGTAAATTGGGAAAATAATCTGAGAAGCTGGATATGAAGAATGTGGCATCAGAATTGGAGGAAGGCTCATTAACAAACCTATGATATGTACATGATATAACTTGGCTTGATGAAATTGAAGAGGTTTTAAAATACTGATGAAGAGCAAAGACCACAGCCTTCAGTATGTGCTGCACCTCCAAGTATAGAAAACAAAACTTCTTACAACTGAACCAAAACCTAACCTCATGATAAATGGAGAAAAGATGGAAGTTGAAAAAGACTTCATTTTGCTTGGTCCCACTATCAACACTCATGTAAGCAGCAATCGAGAAACCAAATGACAGGCTGAATTATGAAAATCTAGTGCACAAGACCTCTTTAAAATGTTTTAAGAGCAAAGATGTCTGTTTGAGAACTAATACCAAGCTATGGTATTTTCAAGAGTCTCATGTCAAAGTTGGACAATGAATAAAGAAGATCGTAGAAGAATTGGTGTATGTGAGTTATGGTGTTGGAGAAGAATATTTAAAGTACCATGAAATGCCAGAAGAACAAACAAATCTGTGTTAGAAGTACAGCTAGAATGCTCCTAAGAAGTCAGAATGGTGAGACTTCGTCTCTCATAGTTTGGACATATTATCAGGAGGAACCAGTTTCTGAAGAAGGACATCAGGTTAGGTAAAATGAAGGGTCATAAAAAATGAGGAAGCTGCTCAGTGAGGTGGATTGGCACAGTGGCAGCAGCAATGAACTCAAGTGTAACAATGATTGTTACAGGGCAATAGGATGACACAGGACCAGGTAATGTTTCATTCTGTTGTGCATAGGGTTGTTCGTTATGAGTCGGAATGGACTCGATTGCACTTGACAACAAGGCACAGCTGGTGGGTTGGAACTGCTGACCTTGCAGTTAGCTGTCCAGTGCTTATTCTACGGCAGCACAAAAGGACTGCTGTGGTCCAAGATCCCATCCTAAAATGAGACCTATCTCTGTCCTAATTGAACACTACTGTGAAGGGGAAACAGTAAATATGTAAGGACTCTGAACACAAGTTCCTAGTAAATTTTTGTTGTTGTTGAATTTAATTATGAGCCTAAAATCTCATTTATGGACATCTGAGCATAGGATCCTCACAACAGGTCTTTAAAAGTGGGGAATAGAAAGTCACGGAACTCTCAGGCAAAAAAGCTCAGGAAGGAAAACAAGCCCCAGCTGGGTATGTGGAGAAAACAGTCCACAGGGCTCTCCATAGACAAGTATGCCCCTCAGGCATGATTCCCCTCCCTAAATCTGTTCCCACTTTTCCCCTTTGCTGTAACTGTCTGCCATTTTGCAAGGAATTATCTTACTGCTTCATATGCATACTTATAAACCAATATTAACTCTTTGAAAGTGTTTGTTCTTTCCCCTCCTTGGGGGAGGGTTGTTGTTGTTAAGTGTCATCAATTCCAACCCATAGTGACCCTGTATAGGGTTTCCAAGGAGCAGCTAGTGAGCTTGAACCACCAACCTTGCAGTTCAAATGACTTTGCAGTTTGACGCATTAGCCCACAGCACACCAGGACTTCCTGGGGAAGCGTAAGACTCAGAAAAATAAAACAAGTGGCATCATCATGCAGATCCAAGATCACAAATCCCTCCTTCTACAGATAAAGAAATTAAGGCCTTGGAAGGGAACAGCTTGTCCAAGGTCACACCCTTGGTAATCCCAAAGCTATGGGAGGCAGGGGCAAGGCATTTTCTGGTCAAATTTTTAGAGAGGTGACTATCTGCCATCTTGATGGCACAGAGGCAACAGGAAGAAAAAGGCCCTCCTTTCCTTCCCTATTCAACTTCCACTCTCATTCACTCTTTGGAAAGAGGCAAACTACACTGCATAGTCATAGGAACTTGGATAAAGAAAAAGTCTGAGGAATTTATCTGACCATTAAATGACTCTTATATGTTAGTTATGTGACCTTGGAGGCCTTTAGCTTCAGTTTCCTTATCTGTGAAACAGGAATGATACCTATTATTAGAAAACTTAAAATGACATATGTAAAGCATCTAGCACAACTTTTGGCACCTAGTAAACAATCAAGAGTTAGCTCACTTCTCCCCCTCTAGTCTCCTCTGTGGCAAACCCCAGGAACTTACATTTTTTGACCTATTGTAGAGTTTTCCTGAAAGAGTAAATCAACGTCTACGTCGAAGTTGCAAGTGGTGATGCACCAAGTCATTCCCCCCACCACCTGCAAGACACAAAGAACACAGATGTTCTGGGAAAAAGGAAGAAGCGAAGGCAGATAAGTTATAAACAAATTTTCAAACTCAGTACACATACAAAATTATGTGTTCTTAAGAACAATGAGAATGTATTCTCCTTACCCCACCAACTACAATTTACCTAAACTAGAGCAGTCCAGTATGATTTTTCACAATGGGAACTTTTTATATCCTCTCTGCCCAATACAGGAAGCTACTAGCCACACGTGGCTACTGAGCTCTTGAAATGTATTAAGTGTGGCAGTGAAACTTACTTGTTGGTTGGTTATATGCCATGGAGTTGGTTCCGACTCATAGCAAACCTGTACAAGGTTTCTGAGGCTGTAAATCTTAATGGGATCAGAAAGCCTCATCTCTCTCCCACGGAGCACAGTTGGTAGTTTCGAACTGCTAACCTTGTGGTTCATAGCCCAATTCATAACCACTTCGCTACCAGAGCTCCTTGAAACTAACTTCTAAGTTAACATGATTCCAACTAATTCAAATAGCTACTGTATTGTACAGTGCAGAGAAAAAGTATCACTTTCTAAAAAATCCCTCTAGAAATAAGCAATGGTTTATTCAGTATTTTCCCTGTGCCCTTATGAATGCTAAGGTAAGTGAGGAAAGGAAACTAAGCAACATATGACATACCATTATTTGATAGCTGAACCTGTCAGGAAGATTAAAAGGTACGCAATGTTATTCCCATTTAAGGATGAAGAGATAAGCTCAGGAGGCTAGACATTTTGTCCAAGGTTGCTGTTGGTTCCGATTCACAACAATTTTGTAAAGGATTTTCAAGGAGTAAATGGTGGGTTTGAACCATCAATTCTGCAGTGAGCAGTCCAGTGTTTACTCTACGGCACCACTATAAAGAAGGAATTATTCTGGCTGACCTAGAGCCTAACTGTAGTATGATAATTCATATATACATATATATACTTCTTCTTTGCCTCTTCCCAAACCACATGAAGGAATCCTATTGGGACAGTGGCCAAAGCTTTCAACTGCTAATTGGTAAGCTGATGGTTTTAAACCCAACCTGTTCAAGAGGAAAAAGATGAGGCAGTCTGATGCCGTAAAGGTTACAGCCTTGGAAACTCTATAGGGCCACTGTGAGTCTGAATCAGCCCAATGGTAACGGGTTTACCTTACACATTTGAGTACTCAAGTCCCTGGGTATTGTTATTAAAAAGACATGCCATATTGAGATCCTCTTTTCAGTGAAGGAGACACAGAAACATTCCATTCTCAGCTGAGAGACATCTTCAACCAGTTTCAGGCCAGTGACAGATTCCAGTGGAATTATACGTTCTATTGACCAGACATGTGGTCAACAAAACATATAATAGCCAACATTTTGAAACTCATTACTCAATTTCCACACATCTTAGTTTTTTTTCATCTACTTAAGGGAGATGAGAACCCTAGTCTACTCATTTCACAGGATTTCTCTGAGATGCAAATGAGGCTTAGAAAGCATTTTGAAACAAAGTCCTTTCCAGACACAGCTTGGCATCATAAAAAATCAACAGTCAATCTTATGCTGGCTGCAATTTAGGATCCTATCAGAAGCTAATAAAATGCAGATTCCAGGGTCCAAGTCCAAATCTAAGTAACCAGAATTTCAATGGGTGAGGCCTGGACATCTATATTGTATACAACAATCCAGGGTGACTCTATGTGCAGTCGAGACTATGACCCAAGAGCACTCAGTATTTTCTTCCACCAGGCAGCTTTGCCGCCCATCCTGATTCCCATGCTTCCTCTCTATCCAGCTGTAGGAGCACCCATGACAGTGTGCTATTTATTCCATACCTATTGGTTTGTTCTTGTCTACTCTGCAAATGCAGTGCTCTTGGAGGACAGGGCCTCGCCTCTGCCTACCTCTGTGTCCTCAGCACCTACTAAAATGCCTGTGCATAATGACCGTTTAAGGTTCTACTGAGTTGAAAGACTTCATCTTATTATGATTTTTCCCTCATTCAAACTGAGCATTCATTTATTATCCACAGAATATCGGACCACTGTCTGTGTTTATAAGATGACACCAAACCTGTTGCCTGATTCATAGCTCTTATTAACTCATTTAAAATGAATTTATCTCCTCACCAAAACTGTCACTTCCTTGAAAGGAAGAACTATGTCTTTTGAAAGGTCCCTGTACAGAAAAGGAATCCAACGCATGCCTACTGAGATTATTATTTTAATTGAAAACTTAAAAACATTTCCCTAATGATTGAATTAGGAAAAAAAGGAGAATATGGAAATGGAGAAAATAAAAAACAATCTCCTTCCCACCCTGGCTAATCATGTACTCCTAGCAAAAGTTACCTTAACAGTCAGAGAGGTTTCATCATACCTTGTCAAAAGGTGACAAGCCTTTAATTCTGGCCCTGAAATACCCAGCTGCAACTAAGAGCTCCAGAATTTCAGTCAACTTGACATTTTGTTCCTCATCTTCACGTGTTTCCACCTACAACAAAAGGCAAAGTTTAGCTGGCCAAAGCTACCTTGTCTAAGAGAACACCAGGCATAGCACCCCTGATGTCATGATCTCACCATCTAAGAGCAGGTGATATGGCTGTGTCACTGCATCAGATTCCCCATGTATACACAGTGCCACCGGAGTCTCAAAGAACAGGGACCCAGTCCTCAGAGAGCTACTAATCATCACAGGTGGGGGGCCAAGACACACACTGGTAATACACGGGTACTCATCACATGTTATATGAACCCAGGTGGGGGTGAGGGGGAGGGAAAAGAAGATTAGAGCATATTACCTCACTGTTTTCTAACCCATATCTCACTTTACAGACTTGTTAACTAGATTATAAGCTCCTTGCAGATAAGAACAAGGTTTTTCAAAACTCTGTGCCCATATAAGATAGGATGAATGTAAAGCTAACATTCTCCCATGTAAACTATCACATAATTCACAATAAAACATTAAAACACAACAATAAAAAATGCAAATGATCCCAGTAAGGACTAGTAGGTGATCTTGAGAGGAGACAGTAAACCCTGTAATACCCAATAAAAGGCAATAAAAGGGGACATGGAGGAGGGGCTTAAAAAAACAAAACAAAACAAGAAACTCTTGTGCCCATCCTGGGCCCAGATGTTACTAACAAGAGGGGCAAGAAAACAGAAGACAATTAATTCCCTTTCGGATCTCAAAACAAATAAAAGGAAGTCTTTGAGTCTGATATATTAAAGAGTAGTTACTACCACATGTTCTTTTTTTTATCGTATTTTTTACTGTGAATTGATTAATAATTTACATGGGAAAACATCAGTTTTACACTCATCATTTCATTGCAATGATTACAATCTCCTCGGTGCATCATAATTCAACAGTATTTGCTTCTATTCCTTTTTTTTTTGGGGGGGGGGGAAATGTACGCAAAAAAACCTCAGTAATATATAATCATTTAAACAACCACAGGACACATTATGTAAGCCTGCCTCCTGACCACCAGCACCTGGCTGCCAGCACACCGTCTTTCTCTTTCCATGAGTCTAGAGTCTTCAGCTGCTCTATCTCTCCGTGTCTTCATCTATGTCTCCATCTCTGATGCTGCTGCTTCTCTGGATAGGATCCCACATTCTGCCAGCGCTCTTCTCCCTTAATGGTTCTAAGGTCCTCTGTTCCTGGACTGTAAGATGAACTATTCCCCCTGTTTTGTTACAAAACTTCTACCTTTACAATTGTGACAGTTGCGATTAGTCATGATAACAATTACTCACTACTGAATCATAAGAATCTTATGCCCAGCTCTTTTCACCAGACCTATCTAGACAAGATGTAAACTTTTCAGTGGGGACTCTATCTTCCCCTGCACACTCTGAAACTATACTCCCTCTTGAAAACTTGTAAGCCAGTCACTTTGTACCTTTATAGCCCGCCCCTCAAACCCCCATTTTAAGTAGCCAATGTCTGAGTTGCCCAACCGTATCACCCCTGTACACAGAAGGGATAGGATTGATATATGATGTGAAGTCTCTTTCCCTTTTAGTTGGTATTTTGAGGTACTACATCCATTAAGTATAGGTCAAGTTCATCAAATTGTAGCAATTTACACTTGTTTCCATGATCAAAATTTTTTATCTTCCTCGATTTGAGTTCTGATCATCAAGCCATTGAAGCTAGGTTGAATGGGTACTATCTACAAGTTTGGGCATTCTTGTACATCTCTCCTCAGTTCATATCAGCTGGGCACTTCACTCTCAGCTCTAGCCCTCCGTTTGCCACATGTTCTGAAGCAGTTAAGATTTTGGCTGGGCCAGGATTCTCACTGATTTAGCAGTTAAGATATAGTTATGACTTCCATAAAGAGATCTAACATAATACGATCAACCCCATGACACACTCTGATGTGGTCAGTGCTCATCTGATGTAATTATCCAGTGTGTTGTACATCCTCACTTAGATAATGTTAATAACGTCAAATGCAAGCTACAAGATTATCTTCAGCCAATCTCTTTCAAGTTATAAAATGAGAAAGAAATGAGTAGAGAGACAGGGACCCAGTACGATCAACAAAGTGGAGCCAGAAATGGAGTGTATCCTTTGGACCTCGGGTCCCTGCACTGTAAAGCATCTAGATCTACAGCAGGAGTGGGGAACGTCTAGCCTTGGGCCATATAAAGCTGGCGAAATCATTTGGTCTGGCCCTGCCAAGGCCATCGCAGTTCCAGCCATCACATTTTTGTTGTTGTTAAGTCCGTCAAGTAGGTTCCCACTCACAGCAACCCTGTATAGGGTTTCTGAGGAGCAGCTGGTGAGTCTAAACCACTGACCCTTGCAGCTAAAACCTACCTTGTGGTCCAGTGCTTATACTACAGTGCCACACCACGACTCCAGCCATCACATTAGAGGCAAATTAATTAAATGTTTGACCAAACATAGCAGGCTAATTTTTAAGTTGATAATTTTGTATGGCTCAAGAATGTTACAAATATCCAAATGGCCCTAGCCATAAAAGAGGTTCCCAGCCGAGACCTAGAGGAAGATTGATGCCAAGACACAGAGAACTCTTAAGGAATGCTGGACGTACAGATGCTGAAATGCAACGAGGACCTTTCTCCAGAGCTAGTGCTCTGAATTTGAACACCTATCCTAAACTGCGAGAAAACATTTCCATTTGTTAAGCCATCCACTTGTGGTATGTTGGATATAGCAGTATTAGATAACTAAGACATCACATGATAGAAATGACTTAACTATGTAATGAATTTAAGTAAGATATTTAAATTGGGATCTGATTTTTAAACTTTTAAAACTGTATCAAAGATTACTTAAATCTGTTTTAAGTGTCATAGTACTTTGGAATCTATTCATTTTCATTAACTTTACTTCTCCTCTGCTACTGCACAACAATCAGAAATGAAGACTTACCATGGGATTCTTGGTGAATGCCTATTGTGCATATATAGGGACTCTGGGCTACGCTATTAGGTCGGTCCCTGGTGGAGGAGGAAATTGAGCAACTAAGATCAGTCCTGAAAAGACTGCATTTATGAGTGACCTTTCCTGGTTGACACACGTTGTCACACATAAATGCAGTGAGAATTAAGTGCTGTCCATTTCACTCCACTGGGAGACAGTAAGAAGCTTGTGCCTGGTCTCTCCTACACTCTTGTGTATGTTTGTCCATTGCTGATTTTAGTCTTCATTTCTTTTTCTTGTAATAAACTGTAACCATGCGTACAACCGCTTTTCTAAACTCTGAGAGCCTTTCTAGAGAATCACTGGATGCAAGGGGCTCTTGGAAATCCCCAACACAACTATGTGTTCACATTTATCCTCCTTAATTTGAACAGTCAAAGTAAGAATCTAGGAAAAAAAGTTGTTAAAAATACAACAGAATGTACAAATTCAATATCCTGGGCATTAGTGAGCTAAAATGGACTGATAGGGACCATTTTGATGATTCCAACAATCTTATACATTACTAAGTGGGAACATCAAATTGAAGAGGAATAGAGCTGCATCATCATCATCATAGAAGAAATGAGGAAGAAGATATATCTTGAAGTACAATGCTGTCTGTGAAAGGATACTATCTATATGCCTATCAGGAAAACCAACTAATACCACTATTATTCAAAGTGACACACCAATCACTAAAAAACTGGAAACAAAGAGGAAGGGATAAGGAGTTGCAAAATAGGGACCTAATGATAAAAAAAAAAAAAAAAATGATGCTGCAGACTGTATGACCGAATTGTGTACAACTAATGACTTATTCCTAGATTCAAATACTAGAATGCTTGTAAACTGAAACCATTTAAAATTATACTTCTAATGTTCTGAACTGGAGTCCTGGTATGGTGCTTCAGGTTAATGCACTGGACTCCAAGGTTGGTTTGAATCACAAAGTCGGTGGTTCAAGCTCACCAGACCCTTCTCAGAAACTCTATACCGGGTCGCTATGAGTTGACCAACTTGATGGCATTTAACAACAACGAGTTACTGCAAATACCTTTTTTAACCAACAGGAAAGGAAGATGGACCTCACCAGATGGAATACACAGGAATCAAATTGACTACATATGTGGAAAGAGACAGTGGAAAGGCTCCATCTCATCAGCTAAAACAAGGCCAGGGGCAGACTGTGGAACAGACCACCAACTGCTCATATGCAAGTTCAGGCTGAAACTGAAGAAAAATACAACAAGTTCATGAGAGCCAAAATATGTCCTTGAATATATCCCACCTGAATTCAGAGACCATCTCAGAATCTGATACATTACGTCCTAATGACCGAAGACCAGAAGAGTTGTGGGATGACACCAAGAACATCATATCTGAAGAAAGCAAAAGGTCATTAACAAGACAGGAAAGAAAGAAAAGAACAAAATGAATGGTAAGAGACTGAAACTTGCTCTTGAGTGGAGAGACACTAGAGTGAATAGAAGAAATGAAGAAGTAAAAGAGCTGGACAGAAATTTTCAAAGGGCACCACCATGAGAAGTCAAATACTATAATGAAATATGTTAGACAATCAAAAAGGAATAACATGCTCAGCATTTCTTAGGCTGAGAGTACTGAAAGAAAGTTACAAACCTAGACTTACAATATTGAAGAATTCTATGGAAAAAATCTTGAATAATGCAGATGTATCTAAAGAAGGAAAATACTGATCCAGTCGACCAAAAAGAAACTGTTGATGTCCAATCATTTTAAGAGGTAGCACATGATCAAGAACTGATGTTCTGAAGAAAAAAGTCCAGGTTACTAAATGAAGGCACTGGCCAAAAACAAGGTTCCAGGAATTGATGGAATATGAGTTGAAATGTTTCAATAATGATGTAGCACTGGAGGTGCTCACTAATCTATGTCAAGAAATTTGGAAGACAGCTACCTGGCCAACAGACTGGAAGAGGTCCGTATTTGTGACTATTCCAAATAAAGGTGATCCAACTGAATGTGGAAATCATCAAACAATTCACTAATATCACACGCAAGTA